GGAGTTCCAGGTCCAAATTGAAATCTGGACCAGGTGGTCAGCTGTTCCGGGTCCGAATTCGAATCTGGACCAGTTGATGGACATTGGACACGTATGGCATTCATGCAGGGTCAGCAGGGCCTGTGTCTGTAAGTCTCTTCAGGCGCCCAACACTTGTTGCGGTACATCCTAACTGTCAATCTTGCAGATCAATGGCTGGGAATGCGGCTAGATGCAGAGTAGAGATCCATGCAGTAGGGAAAATTGCATCTCGCTTGGAATTTTTGCACCGTGGTCCCTTCGCCCTGAACCAGCACCCTTCACGTCACCTCCCCTCATCATAAATCACCCACTGTACCAGAACGATGATAGCAATGCCTCAATGGGGAGAAGGAGGATATTAATGACAACACCCTCCTCCTCCTCCTCCTCCTCCTCCTCCTCCTCATCATCATCATCATCATCATCATCATCATCATTGTCATCATCTTCATCTTATATTCATCACCATCTTCATCATCGTCATCATCATCATCCTGCTCTTCGTCCTCTTTTTCTTTGTTTTCGAAGAAAATGGCAATGTCCTTGAGATTTTATCTTTGAGCCCCCTGGCCCTAGGTGATTCAGCATTCTCTTGTTCTGTTTATTTGGTTGCATCTGGATACCAACTCGGGTCTGTACTTCAACAGTCCATGGGCGTACCAACTGAGCTACGACCGTTGGTGCTCTTCCTCCTCTGTTTATCACCATCACCAGCATCATCTTCGTACAATGCTTGCACCACCAATCCTTACCAACGTCCCATGCGGCATGATGGCTATCCCTTTCCAACATCCCATGCAACCACCACTTCCAAATGCAAGGCAGCAAAAAAAATCGCAGTCGGTATTCCCAGGCGGCGTGGAAGTGCCAGATGAATCCAAAGGGGTTCATCTGCTCCAGCCAGATTGCCCAGTAGCCTGGGTCACACACCTCCAGGAGCCTGAACCTCGACCCTCCTGGCCGCAATTTCGGCGTTTGTAAACTGAAATTGTCAGGTCCTATGGCGAGAACCCAGTAAGCCCTCACAATTTTGGTTCAGAAAAAACACCAAAATTATGGCCAGGCGCATCAAAGTTAGATGCCCAAAGGAATTGAAAAGATTAATGAGTATTATTTAATGCATTTTAGTTATTTATTATTTACTACTGCCTTCCCCCGAACATAACCCATCAAAAAATAAAAAAATTTAAAAAAATCCGAATAGAACACATGTGCCTTGTATTTGAGAACCAGGGCTGCTCGAATAGAACGCATGCGCACTGTATTCGAACAGAAAGCAACTTATGCATTGTATTCATTTACATTCGAGGGAAGACAGTGGTCCTTAGCCTGTGATTCATTGGTGATTTAAAATTAGGCATCTCTTACTTCACCATCCTCTCAGGATTTGATAAGGCCTACGCATATTTAAACGACCAGATGTGTGCAAGAAAGACAAAGAGTCAGACACAAGACAACCCTCAATCCTATCTGACTGCCAGGACCCCATTGGCTCCCCAGGGTCGCAGCTCCTTATTCATAATAATCCTACTGCTACTACTACTACTACTACTACTACTACTAGTTAAAAAAAAAAGATTTCCTTTCGGGGAAACTAAACAGAACTAGGGCATTCTTGATACCTCTTTGCTTTATGCTAACAAGTGACACTCAAAAAAGATGAAACGCAGCCTTGCCTGCGGAAAAAGAGGGCAAAAAAAAAAAAAAAAAAAAAAAAAAGGGGGAGAGAAAGAGACGGACAAAAGTTCAGCAGGCAGATTTCTAGGGCTACTTACAGTGAAAGTATGCTGCTGCTTTGATGCACCATAGCTCTCTTTCAAAACCCGGCCTGCCACAGTTCGCATACCAACACACTTCTTGAACCTGTAGAGGGGCAAGAACATGTTTTAAATGAGTGTAAAATTATTAAAACAAGTAATAAATACCACTGAAAATGACTAATTAAATGTAGAGCATTGCAAGCAGGGTAACCGGCATTCGGGACGGGCCGAACGCCCGAACCCGAACCCGAACGCCCGAACGTATGGGACCCCTTGGGGATACGTTCGGCCGTTCAGGCCACCCAAACACAAAACAAAAAAAATCTGAAAAAAAGATATGTTATGAAGAAAAATAAATTAAACAAGATTTGCCTGAGCATAACATCCAAATTCCTTACCAAATTTGAAATAAAAATAAAATACGAAAAACAAATACTAATAAAAAAATAAATAAAAAATTAAATTTAGTGAGTGCATGAGCACGTTTTCGACACAGCCATCTTTGACGATTTTTCTTTTTTTTTTTGGCACATCTAAATGCCCTGAAAATTTACAAATGTGTACTTTACATAATGCAAAACCCACTAAAAAAGTTTCAAAAAATAATAAAATTGTTTAGACCCCAAAGTAAAGTGAAAACAAAAAGTAAAAAGTGAAAAACAACGTGGGCGAGCACGTTTTGACACCGCCATCTTTGGCGAGTTTTAATTCTTATTTGGATGAGCTAAATGACTTGAAAATTTATAGGCATGTACCTGACGTCATAGAGAACCCACAAAAAAAAAATCAGAAAAAAAAAAATATTTTTAGGCCCCGAAATATTTTTTGGCGGGGGCCGAATGCCATCGGGTTCGGACCCCGTACGGGACCCCGAACGCCCGTACGTACAGAGGTCTGCCCGGGGACCTCCGTACGTACGGGCTGGTGACCCTGATTGCAAGTATATTATTCATTAACGGTGCGAATTCCGTGCGACGTTATCAATTTCAAACATCAGAATATTGGTCAGCAAAAGAGCTGGCATCTACAGTCCCATCAGCACAATGCCAATGCCTTCAAACATATTAATCAATATTGAATATTCTAATTCACATAAATGATCCCCCTCACACCTCTTCCCCTCCCCTACGCCCCGCCCCGCCCCCCCCCAGCCCCACTGTAGCAAAGGTGTAATAATATTGTAATTGTGAGGCAGTATAATAATAGAACAATTTCGTAGCAATGTATCATGGGAAGACCAAATCTTCTCAATACAAGTTATATCTTTCCTCTTTCTATCCCATGGGACTTTGAGGAGACATAACAGCTCAATGTGGGAGGGTGAGAGGAGCAAAAAAAGACACGAGAACTCCAGACGACAGTTGTGCGCAGGGAAAAAGATGAAACAGTTTCTGACATTGAGTGAGGAAAAAACAAACAAAGGAAAATGGGTAAAGACTCCGAAAGAGTTAAAAAAAGATGCATATACGATGTACCGTACGTAGATATTATCGGGTTGTCTGTACTCTGTTAAGCCACAAGTCTCATCACACACCTCGCGCATGTACGGAAGAAAACACGGCGGCCACACTTCCAATGTGCAGGCCTGCCTGTGGCTACCGTCTTCACCCGAATATAAAGCCCGGTCATTTAAGCTGTGTTCGGTGCACCATTCAGTCCAGATACCGGGCGTTGTATTCGGGAGAAGACTGTAGTTCTTTTTTGCTGTTTTTTCCCTTCTCCTCTCTCCTCCCTTTTCCTTTTTCTTCTTTTTCCTTTTTCCTTGAGAGGGCGATCACCTTGAGATATCATCGCAAAACTGACCGGCCCTAGCTAATTCAGGAAATTTCGTTCATCTGGTTCCATCTGGATTCGAATTCACATCTGCATTTCAACAGTTTATGGGTGTACCAACTCAACTACCAACTCAACTAAGCCCATTGCTAGCCTGTGGTGGGTTCAATTCCTACTCAACGGCAAAACTTCTGCCAGGTGAAAATGGCCTGGGGGAGAGACCGTCTTCACCCGAATAGAACGCGCAGTCATAATAGCTGTATTTGGGGCAACTTCCAGACCAGATGCAGCGATAATGACCAGGCGTTTTATTCGGGTGAAGACGGTAGCAGTTTCAGGAGCCTACAGGAGGCAAGAGGCAGTGCACCAAAACAAGCCAGCACTACCATCTTCACACAAATAGAATGCCCGGTCATTGTAGCAGCATTTGGAGCAACTAGCAGTCCAGATGCAGCAATCATGACCAGGCGTTTTATTTGGTTGAAGACAGTAGGGCATCTGATCGATGTCAGACACTCTGAGCGATGCAGGCATACCCCGGGGTGTGTGGTCATGATAAGCAATGTGTAGGTTATTCAAGGTTGTCATTACAAACTCCAATACAAGCATCCCAAGATTCCAGGCCTTATCTCCTCGTCTTACCCTTCATAAACTTTCTGCTGGAAAAGAACGACATCCCCCTTACAGACATCACCTGCCACAAGAACCAACAAAGAACGCATTAGCTGAGGACAGTATTCACACCCTTGATGTGACCCTACATTCTGCTACCACATTCCTATGCTCCAAGCTTGACTAAGCACGCACGCGCGCGCGCACACACACACACACACACACACACACACACACACACACACAAGCAAACACACGCACGCACACACACACACAACAAAGAGTGACGGCAGGCTCGTCATTTTTATTTCGGCATGTATTTTTCTAGGAAGAATTCCATGACCGCCCAGTCACCCGGGCGTGACGCCCGGGTTACACAGTCATGGCAATAAAAAAAAAGAAAAAAAAATGGTAGTGGGTTTTTTCCACGCTCTCCAAGAGGAGTCCAAATCTGGGCTCATCTTTTTTTGAGTGTTGGCTGTCAAGGGGGGGGAAGGGGAGTATAAATGAATTTTAAAAGGGCTAAAGGGGTTTAAAGGGGGGTTGCCTTAGTGTGATTTGGTTATTTTTTCGTTTTTATCTTTAGTTCCGTGAGGAATTCTGATGTGACCCTCAGCCAAAAGTTCTTTGTATTGCAATTCTACACAACATAATTTTTTTCCAGATTTTCTTTGGATTTGTTTTTTTTTTTTTTTTTTTTTTTTGCGCTGGGGCTGCCTGGGGCCATGCCCAGGGGTCATGCCCGGCCGGTCACCCGGTCGCCAAAGCAGGCGTGACATCGGGACCCGGGCGCCCGGGATACCTCCCTAGGTATTTTTTTTATTTCTATTTGCATACGGTTTCATTGGGAACATTTGCTTACTTTTTGTTGTCCCAGATGAATACAAGGGTACCTTTGTCTTATGGTGGAGGTCCACGGACGAGGTTGTTAGCATATCTTTGATCGCGTTTGGTCGTGAAGATCCACATGTGAGTACACCTCTCTTTTTTGCCATGAAGAGCCTCAGAGAATGTTTGCTGCCAGAGATTCAAATGGTTCGCCAGTTCCACCATATGCTGTGGGTGAGACTCCCATGGGCTGTCTGTTCCGGAGCAAATGGAACCAGCGTGTTTTAAGCCGTTGCACTCATGGTATTGCCCGGGGGATTTCATGGTACAGACCTGGTTTCATATGCCTATCTGTTGTCATCGACTGGCAGCCAGATTCAGACAGCTCGAAATGCCTGTGCGGTTCCCCTAGGTTGTGCCTTTTGGAGCACATGGCTTGGTAGGGTTGTCGCGTGATTTAGCCAGTAGGGCTTAAGGCACCCTCCGCATGCCTCATGCCCTGGATATGTTATAGGACTGGGTTGTTTTCGTTAGGGGTACTGTGGGGGGGCAGTGTGGATCGACTGCTGTTGTCAGGCAGAACGCCTGTGATCGGGATCGGGAAATCTTGACTGTGGGTGTGGCATATGCATCCACACATAGACACACAACAGACATCCGGCATAAACCAAAACAACAATGAAGGACCTCCTCATGAAGAGAATGATATCACAGCAGCAGCAAGATCAGCTGCGCGAAGAGGAGGGCAGGAGAGGAAGGGGGAGGAGGGAGGAACGAGGAGGAGGAAGAGGAAGACAGTGAGCAAGAGAAGGAAGAGGGGGAAGAGGAAAAATAGGAGGAAGAGTTCACTTCCAGATGCAGACATGCAAGATGGAAGATACTGACATGCAAGGACCCACTTTCACACAACTTCCGACGCTCTATCTCATCATCAAGTTCACAACAGAACCCACGCAATATGGTAAAACACGTTATTATTGAAGTTCATTAAGTTTTGGGAGAACGAGATGGGCCGAGCAACATGCACCGCTGAATGAGAAGCTCATCGATGAGTCCAGAAGATCCTGCAAACAGCATTGATAGAATGATAAGGGCAGGAAAAAAAAAAAAAAAAAAAAAAAAAAAAAAAAAAAAAAAAAAAAAAAAAAAAAAAAAAAAAAAAAAAAAAAAAAAAAA